GTGGGGGCCCAGGCTCTGATTGGAGGGGCAGCCTGGGAGGAGAGGAGGGGGAGAGGAGGGGGAGAGGTGGGGGAGAGGAGGGGGAGAGGTGGGGGAGGCAGGAGCCTAGGTAGTAGCTGAGGTCAAGGGCTGGGCCCATGAGAGGCCATGGTGGCGGTGCCAGGGAGGCTGTGGGGTGCTGGCACAGGTGGGCCCACGGACCAGGAGCCACAGCCATCTGTACGGTACCTGCCAAAGGCGGCCCCCACCCGTCCTCCTCGGGCCAGTGCCTGGCACCTTCAGTGATCTTGCTTGCCATGAATCTGCCAGTCCCCCCCCCGTCTCCTCACCCAGTTAGGGTCACAAGGCACAACCCTGCCCTAACCTCCGCATGCCAGCCTAAGAGCACCTTGTGGGCGGCAGGTTCCATGACACCCCCGAGCACGGGACCAGGCGGAGAACGTTTCAGGGGAGAAGTGAAGGCACTGCCAGTGTAAGCACCGCTCCAGGTGGCCTCCTGCACAGGGCCCCACGGCAGATAGCAAAGAAGGGCACTGCAGGTGGATGCCCTGGACAGCAGGGCACAGGTGCAGGCGGGCGGTGGGCGCAGGCGGGGGGAGGGCCCAGGAGCCCTCACCTGTGTACTCCCCCAGAATCATCCGAGACATGATCACCGTGAAGATGGGGGCCGAGCTCTTCACCGTTTCGGCAAACGAAACCGCCACATTTTTCAGGCTGACCAAGCCCAAAACCACAGTCGCAAACCTAAAAATATGGAAAAAGCACCATTAGATTAGAGCAAGTCCGTCTACTTACAACCACAGGACAGGCTCTCCGAGGAGCTCGTTCGGCCGGTGGGCACCTGCAGCCCCTGCCCCACCCACCTCATCACCAACGTGGTCCCTGGACCCACCTCTGCCTTGCCTTAGGTCGACCCCCCAGGAAATGGCACTGCGCCTGGTGTGAAGCGACTTCCACCACCCCTTATAAACTGCCCCAGAGACAAGGAGGAGCCCTGTCCTGTGACCAGCCCAGAGAGAAGCTGACAAACACACGTGGCAGTGAGATCACTTATCTGGTGTCTCGACAGCCTGACACTTTTACAAAGTCTGCACTGAAAACTCAGCGGCCCACAGCATCTCCCATTCTAGGCACTGGAGAGGGATTTTACACTGAGAGACACTCAGCCACACACAAGCCATGCTCTACCTCATCAGACCCACAAACAGCATGGTCATGAGGAAGTTGGGTGGGTAAGAAAGCCGCGCCTTGTGCTGATGTAAACAGCAAGGAACGAGGGTCTTCACACACCCGATGACCGTGGTAGACAGCATCTGCACCGCGCCTGCAGGAGGGAGGCGGTTGGAGCTGAGGGGGAATCGGCCCTCCCAGTGCCTGCGCGTTCCCCAACCACGGGCTCACCTGGGAGAGGTTGGGTCCCATCCCAGCAGGGCTCCCCCGCCCCCGCCCCGCCCTCCCGGGTAGCTGTTGGCAGCTCCACCAGCTGCCCCGGCTCCCGCGGGCCGCCATGTACCGAGCATGCTGGGTTCGCCTCCCAGCAGAGACAGGATGTACTTGTTGAGGAAGAGTGTGCAGAAGCTGAAGAAGAACCACAGCGTGAGGTAGAGCAGCGCCCGCGAGCTCCACACGCCCAGGTCGGACTCGATGACTGTGGTCTCCGTGATGGTGACGGTCAGTACATTCTCATCCGCGCCGCTGTCACTCTTGGCAAAAACAATCTTCTCACTTCGGTGACCAAAAAGAGAGCCCCAGCTGAGAGGCCACCTGCCCTTGGGCTTCTCCTCGGAGCCAGGAACGAGCTCCCCCAGCGCTGGGGTCTTCACTGAGGGCGACATGCTGGAACCACCGCAACAAAGGACGACTCTGCCTCCGAGCCGGGCTGCATGGGCCACCGAGACCGCCCAGGGACTCCGGGCGGCAGGAACAAGTCCACTGGGGCCTCTCCCTGGCAAAGCACAGGAGCAGATGCTACAATGCTAAGAAAAGGAAACACATTACCCGTTTTGAACATTTAATGTCCTTAAAGGACATTTTAACCACCAATTGAAAATCACTTAAAAATGCAATTGTTGGCCGGGCGCGGTGGCTCACACCTGTAATCCCAGCACTTTGGGAGGCCAAGGCGGGTGGATCACGAGGTCAAGAGATCGAGACCATCCTGGTCAACATGGTGAAACCCCGTCTCTACTAAAAATACAAAAATTAGCCAGGCATGGTGGCACACACGCCTGTGGTCCCAGCTACTCGGCAGGCTTAGGCAGAAGAATCACTTGAACCAAAGGAGGCAGAGGTTGTAGTGAGCTGAGATTTCGCCACTACACTCCAGCCTGGCGACAGAGCAAGACTCCATCTCAAAAAAAAAAAAAAAAAATGCAATCATTCACTGCCCAGAGATTTTTAGCAATGGAGTCCCGTTTTCTCTTCTTACTTGCTCTTGGAAGATGGTCTCCTGGCACACCTGACTGTCTTCCTGGCAGACCTGGGGCTGGAGGCCCTTCAAGCCCTGGCTGGCAGCTGCGCCTTGGCAATGGGTGTTGTGGCTGCCTCTGCCACGTGCCCCAGGACTAACTCCGTGCTGCTTTCTAGACAGACCCCATGGCACAAAACCACACTCGCACCCGCCTCATGCTCAGGTGACTGTGGCTTCTCAAGCAGACACCCCTTCCTTTCCCACAAGCTCTGGCCAGGTCAGAACAGCTGCTTCCTCCTGAGCACCAGAGAGCATCTTCCTTCCAGCTCAGGGTCTGCGCCGGCGCCACCTCCCTCAGGTCTCAACCCAGCGCTCAGGCAGCCCATTTCCTGTTTCTCACCCCTGGGTTTCTCTTCCTACTTTGGGGGGCGGCTGTGCCTCTGAAAGGTCGCCCACTGTGTCTCCCCACCTCGCTCCCAGCATGTGTGGTGCAGGCCGTGCTGCCCGACCCGGGGCCCCTCCTCCCCTCGCTTCTTTCCCCCAAGGAAGCTGGGGTTCCCACCTCACCCACCATCTCCTTCTACGTTTACGTACTTGCGTGCATGCTACACCAGATATATTCTGTTTACGCTGAGGGACGCACGACGCCCCCTCCCTCGCCGAGACCTCTCCTAGGCGCTCAAGCCAGCCTTTCTGCCAGCTCCCGGCTCCCCTACCCAGCAGTGCTCTGAGGTGCCTGAATCTTGGCCTCCCCACATCTGGGACCTGGTGCTCCCCAGTGGTAACAATGCCAGGGCCCCTGTGGCCGTCCCCTCCCCTCCCCTCCCCCTACTCTGTGTGTCTACGTACCCAGGGCTCCCTGTCTGCCAATCACACCACCCACTCAGTGCCACCCGGACGCTCCCAAGACACAAACGTGTGCTCTGACCCCTGGGTGCACCAGGATAGCTGCCTCCAGGGCACCGCAGACATCTGTGAGGATGAGGCTGGCCCGTCTACCAGTTCCCATAGTCCCAGAGTAACACAGGGCTCCTCCACTCCTCTGGCCACTGATGGTACCAGGTCTCCACAAAGACACCATTTCCTTTCTCCTTTTCAGCAGCACACGCCCACTGCTTAGCGTGGGGTGACAAGGAGCTGGGAGCAAAGCCTCCGTGGGCTGCAGCCTCCCTGGAGCTGTCTAGGACAGGCCAGGCCCTGAGCCAGGGAGGTAGGAAACTTTGTGCCCATTTCCCGAGGGGCCCTGGCTAGGGGTGGAGCAGCCACCTGGCTTAGGTGAAAATCCAAGAACAAAGGGCGCTGCAGGGCGGCAGAACAAAAGGCCGGAACACCCGCCCTGCAGGAGCCGATCCCTGTGGAGCCCAGGGTGCAGGCCTTGATCTCACACCCACCCCACTAGACCCGCTCGCCCTCTCCCTCCCAGCTTGAAGGCTGCCGCTGCACCAGGACCTCCCTGGCTGGGGACGCTGCCATAGCACCTGCTACATAGACTCTGCAGCCACCAGTGAGTTTCTCAAAGCAAATTCACTCATGTGGCAAGGAGCTGACGCTCAAGAAACCGCCCCCAGGATCAGTGATCAGCAACCAGCAGCACGCGGGCTCGGGCGTGGGCAGACGAGGCCAGTCATGTCCCACCGACGTGGAGGTGGACCTTGAGTTCAAGCACAAGCGTCTCCCAGCTCACACATGGCCGGCCAAGCACCGCTCTCTGCCAGAACAGTCTGTCTACTTAGTTTCCATCTGAGAAACTCACAGCATTCCAGGCAAAACTGCTCCCCAAAGTGAGGGCCTCAGTCCCTTTCTCTGCCAACGCTGTGCTCCCACCAAGAAGCCCATGGGCCTCACACAAGCAGCCCAGTCCCCACCCTAACGTTCGCTCACAATCAGTGGAGAGACAAAAACACAGAAATCGCACTTCATCAATGCTGCTGTTCTCCTGTGCATCAAGAACTTAAGGGTCTGGCCAGGCGCAGCGGCTCACGCCTGGAATCCCAACACTTTGGGAGGCTGAGGTGGGCACATCACAAGGTCAGGAGTTCAAGACCAGCCTGGCCAACATGGTGAAACACCATCTCTACTAACGATACAAAAAAAAGGTAGCCAGTTGTGGCAGTGTGCACCTGCAATCCCAGGTACTCGGGAGGCTAAGGCAGGAGAATCACTTGAACTTGGGAGGCAGAGGCTGCAGTGAGTTGATACGGTGCCACTGCACTCCAGCCTGGGCGACACAATAAGGCTCTGTCTCAAAAAAAAAAAAAAAAAAAAAAAAAAAAAAGAACTTAAGGGTCTGGTGTGGTGGCGGCGCCTGTAATCCCAGCACTTTGAGAGGCCAAGGCAAGAGGATCACCTGAGGTCAGGAGTTTGAGACCAGACTTACTAACACAGAGAAGCCCTGTCTCTACGAAAAATACAAAATTAGCCAGGCATGGTGGTGCATGCCTATAATCCCAGCTACTTGGAGGCTGAGGCAGGAGAATCACTTGAACCTGGGGGCGGAGGTTGCAGTCAACCGAGAAAACACCAC